AGCATATGATTCAATTTTAATAACATGTTGCTCTTGAATCACACCGTTAAATGTGTGTGTTTCATTTACAGGATTTTGCATGGCTGGTGCAAACTAGGTGTGGTTTTTTTGTGGTTCCATGAGCTCCATCGTTACATGGGGAAGGAAGCTGGCTGCAGGTTTGCAGGGCTAACGAAGTGACTGCACAAAGCAGCAGCTTTTCAGCAAGGGAGTTCTGGGTATCTTCATGTGAGGTTAGAGTTTCAAACTTCTCTCATGTAGCTGTGTTGACAGAAATAGTGTTGGTAAACTATAGTGTCATACAGATTCTCTTAAAGCAGACTTCCTAGATTTTTAATACTGGTTTTGATATTGGCTGTTCTTCCATAGGGAAAAATTCTATACAGCTTGCCCATCAGACAAAGGTTCCCAAGGCCAGAACATGTTACGTGTTGGGATGGTGACAAATTTCTCTCTTTATTCAGCATTGTTTTCAGAAATTTATGAAATGAGAGGGCTGCTTACAGCTGTAAGGGCTGGTTGGTATTTGCAGTGCTTTGGGAGTTGACCAATTCTTTTCAAATTGACAGCTCGTCTGATTTAATTTCATTGTGCATGCAGTGTCATTCCTCTACTTGGAACTGTGTAAATTTGGCTTTTGCCAGATTGTGTGCGATCAGGACAGGATGTAGATCTCGGAAACAGGCTTTGAAATCTCTCATAAAGGTATTTGACAGTAGAGTGTATGCAAGGGTGTCTGTCTCTGGTCACCTGACGTGATTTTGTTTTACAGAAACAACTCTTCTTTAGAGGGGGCTTATACTCATTTACTTTATTTTCTGATATATATCTATGCAGCTCCATTTAAAAAATAAATAAATGAAAGAGTATCTAAAGCCAATAAAACATCCTCCCGAACTAAGTATAAACCTATAGCTGCCAATTGCTGAAACTGAGATTGGAGGCTGATTGTTGATTTGAATTGCTGAACAGATGAGGATGATTGTTTTTTATTGTAAATCTGTCAGTAACTATCATTACTAGAAATCTGTGGCTTTTATAATCCAATCTCATTTTACTATTGGATTAATTTCAGTTCTCTATCTCAGTCCTAATATATTATGGTATGAATTTCTGACAAAATGAGAAATCAAGGCAAATATGCTTTTTTCCCCATATAAAAAAGTCTGTGCAATTATTTCATTGATGTAGGGACCAAACACTGGTTTTGGGGGCTAGTGGCCAGAAAGATGCCTGATACTGACTATCCTTTTGATAAATTTGGGTGAATTGTGAGAGTCTTAGAACTGCATTTTTCAAAGCCTTGTTGACTTGGCATTAAATTTTACAAAGACTGTCCATTTTGAAATTGGTGTGTCTGCTTACAGATTCTTTTTGCCAAACAGCATACCCAGTCCATTTCTGTTTAGTGTTTTGTTTCTTAACTTCTGGTGACACTGGTAGGTGAAGTGGAAAGGGAAATGTGATTTGTAAATTTTTTCTCATCTGCACTAATACAAAGTTGTGTTTATCCTTGCCTTGTCTCTACGTTTTTCTAGTGAGAAACTGCTGTGGAAAGAGAACACCTACTTCCTTAATTGATAGAAAAAAATATCCGAGTCAGAGGTCTGCTTCCTGCAGATAGAAGCTAATCAACCCATGTTGAAATCAGATTGTAGCTTTATAGACATCTCTTGCAGGTTTTTTGCTGTTGTGTTGTTGGTGTGTGTGGTTTTTGTTTGTTTTTGGGTGTTGTTTTTTTTTTTTTTCCCCTCTGCAGACATTATGGAGCGTGCAAAACCAGCTGTCTTTCACTTTCTGGCATACGTTATAATTTAGTTCTCCAGTAAATATACCAGTAAAATGAAACTGAGTCCTCCAACTTGGAAACCAAAGTTAAAGCAGTGTTAGATTTGAGTTCTTCAGAACTGAGATTCCAAAAAAACAGTGTTATTCCTCCCTTGCTCTTGGGTTATGTGGAGATGTGGCTTGTGTTAGACTGGAGCCATTAAGTAGCCCTTGGTAAGGAGATAGGGAACAGTTTAAGAATCCCTTCAGGCTCAGCTACAGGAGATTGGTGTTATCTAGTGCTGCAACACATTTGAAAACACAGGTGCATGCTGCCTTAAAATGGACTCGTTTCTGCTACCAGAGTTTGAATTTTAGATGTTTTAGTCAAGCCATCGCCATGGCTTGTTTGTTCTCATAGTTTCCTTGGCCATTGAGTGCAATGTCTTTGAAGGATAGTGTTTCATCCTGTTGACAGATTTTTATTTTTTTTTGACTGCTGTAATGTGTCTCCACTGTCTGAGAGACTACATCCATCTGTTTTTTTATCTATCAACTGATAAGGCTTGCATGTAACACAAGTGGTATTAAAGGCCTCAAAATTTTCTTCTGAGGAACGTTCAGGTGTGCAATTGTGGAAGCACAAAGCAGGAACCTTTGAATTGGGATTGCCAGAACTGAATCCTTACTATCTTGATCAGCTCAGTGTTTAACTGATTTTCACTTGGCTGGAAGTGACAGATGATTAAAGAGAAAAACTGTTAACCTTTTTTGTATGTGAATAGTTTGTATGTATCATCAGAGAAATAGCTTCTTTAGTCCTAGAGTCAGTCAGAATCCCAATGGTCAAGCTAGAGGCACATCTACCTATTCAGTTTTTGGAGTGGCAGAAGCCTCATTCCAGGGCTGTATTTCAATAATGTAAAATCTGACCAGGTTTATTTTCATCTGCCAGCAACAGTGAAGCCTTGAATTTCATTTTGGGGGACATAACAGAATGTGTTTCTACAGATTTGACTTCTGCCAAAAGAGCTTTCTACCTGCTCCCTATGAAAAACCCATTTCAAGGTTTGGGTCACTCTTCCCCTTTGGGGGTCATGCATCTTGCTGTAGCACAAGGATATACCCAGTACACACTGTGATGTCCTTTCCAGCTTCCTTTCCTTTGAGAGTGTGATACAGGTATTTCTCTTCTGGGATGGGAAACCCTTTCTGGTGGCTCAAGAAAAAATATTTTTGTGTTTTTTCATAAAATGTCTTCATTTAGAGTTGAATCTCTTGCACGCATGGTTTAAAGACTTTGAAAAGAACAGTTATCTCATGCAGAGGCTGTTGATGTGGGATAGTCGTTTATGGGATTGCCAAACTAGGGTTATCTTTATCCCATTCCACCAGCTTTAAGAATTCATCATTGGATTTGATGGAAAAATAAAGCTGTTCCTGACAGCTGCAGAGCTGTTGCTAGCAGATCTGTAGAAATGTTTGATCTCTTTGACAAGAAAAGGTTATCAGAGTGGTATCTGAAGTGTTATCTAGAGCTGATGGATTTTTATTTTTTTTTTTCTTCCCCCCATGGCTCTGGAGTCACTGCTTGTATGAAGGACTCTGAAGTCAGCACACTGGTAATTGTGTGGGAACACTGCTTTGAGTCACCTGTGATGTAGCTGAACCTCTACACTATCAGAGAATATTCAGCAGTAGCTGGAGTTGTTGAATTGTACAGTCTATATACATTTACTTCTTCCTTTTCTTATCCTCTTGGTAATAATCCTGTGATCATGCTCCACTGAGACTCTGTAGCTGAGTAGCAATTAGAGTAATGCTGGGTGTGCTCACCCCTGTGTATTTGTGCTGAGCACTAGGATGGAGAGAAGGTTGTGAACACCTATTCTTATGTATTTAAAAAAAAAAAAAAGATATATGTCTTCCAGTGATAAGCTGTTTGTTCATCTGGTATGAATATCTATGCAGGCTGCTTGCTTCGAAGAATTTGGTCTTGCTGACTCTGTGGCTTTGGAGTTGGTTTATGAGTTGAAGTGAACAGTGGTGAGATGCTGCGACTTCTATGGTGATTATAGCATAGAGCAATGGCTTTAATAAAACAGGCTTTTCTGTAAACTGGTGTGGTGGGTTGACCAGGTTGGACTCCTCAGCTGGACAGGGGAGAGAAACATAAAATGAAAATCTCGTGGGTCAAGATAAGGACAGGGAGAGATCACTCACCAATTATTGTTACAGGCAAAATAGACCCGACTTGGGGAAATTAGTTTAATTTCTTACCAATCAAATCAGAGTAGGGTAATGAGAAAACCAAATCTTGAAACACCTTCCCCTCACCACTCCCTTCTTCCCGGGTTTAACCTCACTCCTGATTTTATTCCTTCCTCCCTGTCAGTGGTGCAGGGGGAGGGGGAATGGGGGTTGTGGTCAGTTCATCACCCCTTGTCTCTGCCGCTCCTTCCTCCTCAGGGGCAGGACTCCTCACACTCCTCCCCTGCTCCAGCGTGGGTCCCCCGCGGGGTCACAAGTGCTGCCAGCAAACCTGCTCCAGTGGGGGCTCCTCTCTCCACGGGGCCACAGGTCCTGCCAGGAGCCTGCTCCAGCGCGGGGACCTTCCCACGGGGTCACAGCCTCCTTCGGGCACCCCGAGCTCCGGCGTGGGGTCCCCCCCGGGCTGCAGGTGGGATCTGCCCCACCGTTCCCCTCCCTGGGCGCCGGGCACAGCTGCCTCCCCAGGGGCTGCACCTCGGGCTGGGGGAACCTCTGCTCCGGGCCTGGAGCACCTCCTGCCCCTCCTGCGTCACTGACCTGGGCTCTGCACTTGTTTGTCTCACTTACCCTCACTCCTCTCCCCGGCTGCAGTTGCACAGGTTTTTCCCCTCCTTCAGTCCGTTATCCCAGAGGTGCTGCCACCGCTGCTGATGGGCTCGGCCCTGCCCAGCGGTGGGTCCGTCTTGGAGCCTCTGGCACTGGCTCTGCTGGACATGGGGGAAGTTTCTGGCAGCTACTCACAGAAGCCACCCTTGTAGCCCCTGGCTACCAAAATTTTGGCATGCAAACCCAATACAGCTGGACAGGATGCAACCCTGTGTTGTTCTAAGGGTGAAATTGCCTTGTCTGCTTTTGCTGAGACCTTTGTAATGTTTATGTATGGCGCACATTTTTTTCAGCGAATGATATGTTAAAAATTGCTAATTTGTTTTAAAAGTTCCTATTTTATTTTAATTGTGTAGGACACCTGATGATCTCTCAAGGCAAATTGTGGCCCTGCAGCAAAGAGAGCTTGTGCTGAAAGAGCAGAACTCTACCATCACAAACAGGTGAGTGATACCAGTAGTGGATGGTGGTAGCAAGACACTGTTGTATTAAAGTGTGTGGAAAGAAAACAAGGAATTAAAACTTGAGAGAACAGCTCTTTAGATTTCCTTGCTGTTTCACAGAGCCTTCCATGCTGTCTTCTTTCCCATGTTGATGAGGAGTTTTTTCCTTACTTAAACCCTTGTAGGAAGAAAAACATGAAGAACTATAGATAGATGCAGTCAAGAGTTTATCCAGCTTTATTTTATAAGCTAAAGTGTTTGCAAGGGGAAGTGAGCTTGTTTCCCAGGCCACTTAATCTGGAAAGGGAATGCCACAACAAAATGTACAAAGTAGTCATTTGGGTGTGGGAAAGGGAGTAGGAGCCCTGAGGACTGTGATTTGACTACTTAAAGCACCAGTTTTTATAGATAGCGGTGGAAAAGCATGTTTGCAGTTTTGGTGGCAAAATACTGCTAGACTTTGGGAAGAGCAGTCTGTTTATAGAGGAAGATATGTGTTTGAAACTAGAGGGTATTCAAGCTTTTGCCCTGTAGTGGGAGTGAGTATCTAATAGGGGAAACGAATTTGTCTGCCGGAGCTTAACTTTTCAGAGTGCACTGGTTATACATAGCCTTACTTAACGTGGTTCCATAGCATGCCAGAAAGTGCTTCTCATCTTTAGTGCACATAGTCTTGCTTCCCACACTGTTTTATTTCCTCACATTAGGAACCCGTTGTCTGTTCTTTTTAAAAACAATACCTGTATCTTTCCAAAAGGCTCTTGGGCTGTTTGCATTAACTGACTTGGCTAAGCAACAGATGCGGAGAATTTCAACCTTTGTTGTAAATGTGTTGAATGTAAAGCGGTCAGCTACTGTGTAATTGAGCACTGGACAAGAACTTCTAGTTTGTCTGTGGGCTGCATTTGCTAATGTGTCCCCTGAGGTATATGGTAGATTTTGGTTGAAGAGATGATCGTGTTCTGGACTCCGCCTTACTAATGATGGGCAGGATTCATGCTGGGTGTTAAAAGCTTTGCATGTCCTGCTGCTGTTAATGAAACTGTGTAGTCAGTTGTAAAATTGTTAGTCAAGTGTAAATTCCTGTGAGTGCAGCTGGCCAAATTGTTTTGTGTTTTTTGCTGAGAAGTTTAAAGGGGGGGAAAAGATCTCACCAATATAAAAAAGACATTTCCTATATTAAAAATAAACCAAGCAAACTCTCAAACCCACAACTGATCAAATGATCAAATCAACGAATGATGGTAATGTTTGAGTTATTGATTTTATTTTTTTTTTTTTTTTTCAGGCTGCTTTTCACAGCCTGTCAGAGAAATGCATTTTCTAAATTTATTAATGGCTAAGGGGAATCATCCGTTGAAAAAGCAGCCTTTTGGTAGTGCCTGTTCATGCTGGATGTAACTGTGCCAATTTAGTTCAAAAATAAAAACATGATTAAGATTACTTTTTGATTTCAAGTGAAATGGGCTGTAAAGCTGCTTAAATTAAAATTCTAACATTTTCTTGATGCAATGCTGTGTGTCATTTCCAAAACTGATAATTTAGGCTTTCTTCTGTCACATACCTTATTCTGTCTTAAAATGTAGGTAATAAGATACATTTTAAAAAACCTTTCATTACAGATGATTTGAAAGTTCCCAGGAGAAGTTCTTGAGTCTTTGGAAATAAAATCTTGTTAAGGAAGCAAATCTAATTTTCTCTTTTCCCTGAGTGACATCCAGATTTAGCTGGGTCTTCTCTTTTATTTGTTTCATAATTGTGTTCAGAATGGTCTGTGTATTACAGTAACTTAATATGTGATCGTGACTCCCTCTAGTGATTGAGCCCAGCACTTATTGAGCTTCCTATTGTTTTTTGATCTGCGGGTTCTTTTGCCCTTAATTGAAATGTGTGAAGTCCTCAGTACTGATAGTGTTGTTTAATTTATAAAGTCGGTGGTTATGTGTGTATAGAGCAATGTGCAGCATAAAGGCATAAGAATTTTTGCCTACCCTAAGAAGCTTTGATTAATTTTCTCCATTAAAACCAATAATTTGGTAGATGCTTAAGAAAACATCATCAGAAGTTGACATCTGAATTTATTTTTTGGCAATGAAGTGGAAAATCACCGATAGTCCCAGCTTACCTGTTGCTAAATGTAGTGCAAAATTCAGTTTAGTAGAAGAGGTTTGAGTGTGGTGTTAAAGATGGTGATATGACCCTCTTCCCTAAATGGCTGATATTGAGTCTGTGTACAGTGCATCTATGTTTGATCATCACTGAGCTTTTAAACACAGACAGGAGAGTGCCTGGAAGGGGTTTTTGCAAGCTGAGTATTTTTACTCTCAGTCTTTATGCTGCAGTCGTCTTACTGTTTTTTATTCCCAGTGATGGTACCTTTCTCACATTGTTTAGTGACTGTGATCGACACTTGCCAGCTACTGTTTGTCTCTCAACTTGGGAAATAGTTCCCGGTTTTGGTTTTTTTTTGAAAAGAGGAGATGCTTAGTAGTGAAGCAGGAGTTAATTGCTAATGTAGTGGGATATGAGCAGGAATTGACTTCAGGAAACAAACCAGGCGTGGAGCAGGTATCACAAGGGAAAAATTTGCTATGTACGGTCCCATCCGTTTCTGTAAAACTGGAGACAGATCTAGCTCATCTGCTTCTCAGTGTCCCTTAGTTGATCTAGAGTGGAGAATTATGGTATACAAACACAGTAGTGACATTTTCCCAGTGGCACATATCTTCACTAAACAGCTTAAATTTGTTTTGTGGCGTTCTTCCATTGTTGAACTGCTTTCCATTTATTACTGAACATTTTTTTAGAGCTAGTGTTTCTTTTATTAAAAAAGCAATAGAAATCATCACACCACAAAAAGGACACACCGTTATATACATCAGCCTTTGCAGTGTTATCTGCCGCCTCCTGGCTTGGGGATCTGTGTAACCTGGGTAATTGCCAGTGTCTCAAGGCCTCCCAGAGATCAAGTGATAATGCATATCATATTTGCTGTATCACTCAGATTGGATGCTTTTAGACACAGAAACACAGGACTGAATTTCCTGAACAGTGGGTTTAAATCAATTTCTTTTAACAGTGATTGTTTACATGTTTGAGTTCTGTAGACTCCCTTGGAGCTTGCTGTTTTTGCTAGGGAGGAAAACCTTCCTGTGGTGCTAGTGTGGAGAAAGAGGAGAGGGTTGCTCTTGCACTGAACACATAAGCAGCAACTCACTTCTCCACTTTGCGACTTCAGGATTGCTGAGTAATGTAGCTGAAAGTGCCATTAATAGCATGTGATGGAATCTCACTGCTGTTTTGGAGCATGTTGCTACAAGTTGTGTAAATAGAGTAAATTATACTTTCAGCAGTAACAGTGGGAAGCATTGTGGAGCCCTGTAACTGCAGAACAAAGATAACAATCCAAAGGTTTGAAAGCCCAGGAGAAGATTGCTTGGGGCCCCTTTGATAGCATGAAGTGTACCTGCTCTGCCATTTAGGAAAAGGTAATGAAAGAAAAGTGCTTAGTGGGTCAGTTTAACCATGCAGCCATCATTAGTTTAAGCATATTTCCCCCCCCCCGAGTGTGAATGCTAAAGGTGTGGTGCATTGAAATGTACTTTTTCAGGAAGAGTTGATAGTTTTAGCTTGTAATATGGAAAGTCAGGCAAGCAGGTTATAAACTTTTGTTTTATGGAAAAATGATCTAGTTACACTATTTTTTTTTTAAGTGAGAAGAACTGCATATTTATTTTTCCAGCATTCTACCTGCACATTGGGAGTCTCTGGAGAGATTTCCTAAAACAATCCTGGCAAAGCATTCTAGAATTTGAAATGTAGGGGAAAACTTCCCTTCCCATCAGTGTTGTCCTCTGAGATGGCTAAGCATGAAGAAATGGCACTGCTTACAGTTCCATCTTTGCTTTAATTCTGAAAGACAGGCTATGAAAATGTACTTTTTGGTTAGTAGCAGTCCTTACCGAAGTGATAATTTCTAATTTTGCTCTTGTTGTCTAAGTGTAACACTGACTTTGGGCCATTGAGCTATCTTGTAGAAAGTCAAATAGAAGGAAACACATAGGTGAAGTTAGTACCGAGCAGGGTGAAGGACACACAGTAAAACAGAGAAGCAGTAAATCTTTGATTTTGGTGTTGGGATCCTGGAGCTGATGGCTTATTCCCATCACCTAGTGTCAGAAACCCAGCTGTGTGTTTTGACATATGGTTTCATATGTGAAAAGGGATACATAGAATATATTTGAAAAAATGTTCTCCTTCTCCAAGTGCTCACAGAGCTCTGTTAAGAGACATGGTTGTTTACCAACCTTTATTCATATAAATCATGTAAAACTGATTTACCCAAACAACCTGCTGTGTGTGTTGTCGTTTAAAAATGAAATAAAAAACTAAACGATTGAAGGCACAGAAATGTAGACTGCAAACTGAACAGAAAATGCTTTGGAGTTGGGCAGCAGTGTGTTGTTTTTTTTGTGTTTTTTTTTTTTAATAAAAAAACCCAATGAATGAGTGATGGTAAGCTCAGAACCGTCCATCTCCATAAGTGCTGTTAGCTCAGAAGTGTGTTGTAAATCTATTGCCCATCTTCTCTTTTCCTTGGATGTCCCAAGGAATGTCAGTCACAAATATAAATAGAGCCTGTCAGGCTTCTTCCCCTAATCTCCTGGAAAGTTGGACAGAAGTTTAATTACAGTGAAATGTCTTTTATCTGACAGAGAAAGAAGTGCTAGCTTTTTGATAGGCTTTATGAGTTATTTTGTGATCAAAAGAAGCACTTAATGTCTAATATAGGACAAGGTAGGGATCTTTATTTTCTTCTTTTGTTCATCTATATGGCACATTGCACCTTGATTTATATTTGGAGGGGTGTGTGTACCAAGTACCAGACAAATGTTTATTCACAGTGCTTCAGGGTAATATTAACTGCTGGCAGGTTCTGCATTCATTTGTAGAGCAATATTATGGAGAAATTACTAGTAGGTATTGCTTATTCTTCTCTC